GATAATAACTATTAGTAAATCAAACTCCTCTGCAATATCCAGCTGTGCCTCACGCATTTACATACAGATAGAATGGGTATATGTTCTTAATATGTATGTGATACGTACTCTTACCACAGCCGAAGTGCAAGCTACAAAGGCGGAGGAGAATGGGAAACGGATCAGCATGAGATAATAAAGTGGCCTAGATAAAGTATTAGCCAGCGATTGATCTCAAACCGGGTGCTGCTTCTTCTGACCTGATTACTTACTATGCATAGATTCCATTAAATAGAGCTTAGATATGGAAAGCTTCTGGAAATACTTTAAATGCATAGAAGGATCTATAGTACTCTGAACCCAAATCGTAACTGCAGAGGTGTCCACGGCCCACGCCCTCCCTGCTCAGGTCAAGGCCCCCAGTGAGGATGGGCTGGGAGGTGAAAGGGCCTGACAGCTGGTGGAGAGCCCTGCTGAATCCCACAGAGAAGGCCTTTCCCTTCCCTCCCCCCAGCCAAGCAAGTGCCCTCCCAGTGCACGCCTCTCCAGAGCTGCCAGGCGGGTCCTGGATGCACAGCTCTAACAGAATGAGAAGGCAGTGAGGAGCGTAACAATCCCTCGGGGTCATGGTCCCCTCTGAAAAACTGATGACAGCCAAGAATCCCTCTTTCAGAAAAAAAGTGCCAATCCCCAGATGCACACAGGATTTGGGATGTGACTTCAGGGGTTCTAACAGACTTCCTGAAGAACAGACCCTAGGTCAGGGGCTGCCGATCTAGTCTGACCCTTTGTTTCAAGGCTGAAGACAAGGCAGTGGAGGGAACTGGGCGTTGCTAAGGGAAGGGAAGTGTGGAGGCCTTCCCTGCTAAGTTGCAGCCTGGCTCGAAAGGAAGGTTAATTCTGCAGAAGGGGTTGTCTGTGGTTTACACAAGCAAATGGTCTATAGCATAATGCTTCTCATCATATCCCTTTTATTTCAAAATATGTGAACATATACTTTGACTAGCAAAACCAGGCTTGGACCTCTCCATCTTGATGCTCCCATCTAGGTGGTCTCAGCCCCTGAGTTTTAGGGTCTGAATTTTAGTTTTTAGCATCCCTTAGTCTGATTATTGACATTTTGGGAAAATTTCTCTACCATCTTTGCATTATTGTCCTCCCCTCTCCTGTTGCAGTCTCATCAATCCTTCCTGACTGGCAGAGGCTGTTTCTCATTTTTTCCTTCACGTGAGCCGGACATCCTGGGATGGTTGTCTGAGGCTTGCCGAACATTCTGTCTGCCACCTCCACCGAGTAGCTGCAGCCTGGAGACTTTCCCCTAAGTCTGCTGGGCCCAGGTCACAGATTGGGCAGCACCGACAGAGGTCTTTCCTGCAATCTACTTCGGGGTGACTAGAAGTGGGTTCTTCCACACCGGCATCAGTATCGCAGGAGAGAAAGAGGGTGTGGGTGGCTTCCTGTCTGGTTGTGTCAGCATGCAGGATGTTCTTGGCTGCCCGAATGGCTGTTTTCCTTGGTTGGGTCTAAAGCTGAATCCTGATTTGTACAACAGCTCTTAAAGAAGTGAAGAAAGTCAGATCTTTCCAAGGAGGAAGGACTTCCCCTCTACTTGAATGGGAGTCCACTCAAGAGCGTTCGCTCAAGGAAAAGGTGTGTGTGGGTGAGTGTGCTGTTTCTGTGTCAGGTCCGAGTTTCAGGCCTGGACACCAGGGTTCCTTCGATAAGAAATGGAATTTCTGAACAGACTGTCCAGCTAGGGGGACTATGTTGCCTATCTGAACGCCACCTCCGTGGGGGGTGGGGCTCCACGAAGCCAACATCAAAGGGGTCTGTGGCCAGCAGACAGCAGAGGTCTCACAATGCTCTGAAAAGGTCTGGGCCTCTACACACAAATGCTTTGCCTAGCTTGTTTCCTCTGCCTGGAATGTCCCCTTGAAAACTCTATTAAAATTCAATCCATCTCCAAAGACCCTTTCCAAATGCTACCTTCTCCATGTAGCTTTTCCCCATCTCCCGAGAACGATCCCCACGGCACTCCGCAGTTCTTCACAGCAGTTACTTTACTGTACTTATCTGTATACTTGCCGTCTCCCCTGCAAGTCTGTACCCATGTGGCTTACTCTTGGTATCTTCTGCTGAGTCTAGCACAGGACTGTGCACGTAAGGGTCTGTAAACATCTGCTGAATTCATTTGTTTACCTGGTCCTGAGATCTCTCAAGATGATGTGAATCATGATGATAAAACTTTTCAGTAAATTCTTTATGTAGCTTAATGGCTACTGCCAGAAAAGTGCACCAGCTCACATGGGCTCTGGCCTCTCCAAAATGTTGAGGAAATTTCTTGGTCCAGTGTTTGAACACTTCCACTTAGAACATAAAGACTGATATTCATCTTAGGAACAGCCACACAATGTAGACAGAATTAAACAGAAAAACAACTAAATTACTTCTAACACTGGGAGTTTAATAGCCTCAAGACTGACTCCTTAAGACTGACATGGTCAAAAACTGCAAAGATGCCCTGGCTAGGTAGCTCAGTTTGTTAGAATGTCGTCCCAATGTGCCAAGGTTGTTCAATCCCCAGTCAGGGCACATACAAGGATCAACCAATGAATTCACTGATGGGTGGAACAGCAAGTCAATGTCTCTCTCTCTCTCTCTCTGCAAATCAACCAACAAATAAAATTTATTTCTTTTAATTGTAAGATGATGATTTTAATTCTTGGATATTCCGGATATAAGGTAATCTCACCGAATAAAATGACAAAAACGACTTGAGTAGCCACTCTGCACATGGGCCACACCTTCCGGCAGTCAGACTTACGTAGGCTCGGACTGATGGTCAGGGCCACACTGGAGTTCATGCAAAAGCTCCCTGATGGTCAATCTGTAACTCGCAGTATTTTCACCCAACCCATCTGATTTTCCTCCTTTGATTTGGAAAATGCAGGCCACAGGGAAACCTCCCCAATCCTGTGGGCCTCACAGCTGATGTGGCTCGAGCTGTGCAGACCACGTTGGTACCCTGCTGCCTGGAGTTACTGCGCTTGGGAGATAAACTGCTCTTTTTGTGAAAGGCAGGCCCCCACCCACAGTGACAAATGGGCTCTACAGTTCATGCATTCCAGAGGATGCTCTCAGCTTCCAGATGGGAGCACCATCAAATAGTTGCAGGCAGAGAGGGAAAAGGAAAAATTAAAGCCATTAATATGCTAGAAGGAATAAAGGGACTGGTTCCTTAAGACTGGGTTCCTAGGATGTGACTCGTCCCTGAAGCCAGGGCCAGTCCACTTTCTTTCCCATCCCCTAGAAGCCCCATATTTTGGCCAAAGGCAGGCAGGGCCCAAACCCTCTGGCTACAGGAGCCCGCACACACTCACTCTTTTCTGCCTCATTACTGAGCCCTTTCTGAGCCAGGGGAGCCTCACTATTGCTGTACCTGAGGTAATCCATTCAAATCAAACTGCGAGCGGCACTAGAAATACTTTTAAATTAAGTATAGGATGGTATTTCCTGTGACTAAATTTATCATTGTGTTTTATTGATTTATTGATATTTATTAATTAAAAATGTGGGACAGCACACACCAGGGTGTATAGTTGTAGAGATATATAGAAATCTATATCCCTTGTGTCCCTCCCCACCGCCCCCCCACTTGCTTAAGGCCTGAAAGTGCCCACTCTTACCTTATCTTTATAACTTGCCACCCCTGGAATAGTGTTCCTTACCAGCACTTCTGTCCCTATGTACCATCTGAAGATTTTTTTTAATAAGTGGCCAACTCATTGCAGCATTGAAACATGCATTTACAAACATACCTGTTTTACAAAATCCTATTCCTTTGTTTTAATAGCCAAGCTATCCAGCCATAGCATAATAATGTACAAGGTAAATGGGTCTCCATCTCTAGAATCTGCTCCAAGTTTTCTCAAATGTGACTAACTGCAAGAATTTTCCAGCCATCAAAGAGGTTGAGCTCCGCCAAGACCAGTTATTCTAGACATGAAACCTGCACAGTTACAGATCACAGAGGTTTTAGAGGTGAACTTTCTTTAACTTAAAACTACCCTGAAAAATGAAATTTTGCTCCAGGGGTAACAGGAAGGAGAAAACGACCTCCTTGGAAAGTACTCATGATGCAAAAGGGACAGGGCAGTTCTTTTATTTTGGGGATAAAATCTGTATTACACAGAAGTTTGGGCGCTTAGACTGTTTATTAGGATGAAACATGAAGTGTAAAAACCTCTGAACCAGTATCTACAAACTGCTTATTGTTTACAGAGGTGAAGAAAAATTGGTTGGTATTTGCTCTGACTGCAATAATCTAAAGACAGGGAATGGTATGCAAGACATTAGAAAGAGGAGACTATAATTATTATTTACTAATGCTCGATTCTAACGTTACTTTAACAGCTTGTGCACTGTCAAATCAACAATCTGCATTAAATAAATGACCATTTGGGAATTGTTAGGGAGCGTCTCTGTTCCTCTCCCTGCATGACTAAAAACTGTCATTTCAATCAAAGAAAGTGGCCCTGGAGCTGAGAACACAGCACCAACAGCCTTGTAGTTCTCTCTTTCTGAGGAAAGACCAAAGATTCACATTAACTTGATCTTTTGCAGCCAAACTAATTTCATTCTACACGAATCTGAGAGGACTCCACGCCACATTCAGAATTTCCTGTAGGGTTGCACTAAAAACTTAATATGCTATCTTCTCTGTGACCGGCCCTTTGAATTCTGAGAGGCTGTCACAGCAAATGAGGAAGAGGCGCAGCGGAGACTAATTCATGACCCTGAGTGTGAGGCAAAGGGAAAGGGCTCTGCACGAAGTTTCAAAGTGGTGGTGGTTTTCAAAACGTAAAAACTACTAGGTGAGGATCTGAGCTTCAAATTAAGTATACACTGTTGTCTCTTCAGAGTCTGCGGATATTTTAAATTTTACCCTGGTCCTTTTCACAGAATGTTAAGCATAGATATATAAATGCAGAAGTCTAATGTAACTAAACAAATTTACTTACCATCAATTCCTCAGGTGCTGGCCTTTCTTTGGGCTGTTTTCGCATGCTGTAAGAGGGGAAAAAACAGACACCTATTATCTATATCACTTGTAAATTTGTGCTATAATTTCCACCACTGACTATTTCCCCTGGAAATGGGATGTTATCAAAATTCATCATGTTCAATTCTTGGCCAAAGTACAGGCACATCTCATTCTAATGCGCTTCACTTTATTGCGCTCACAGATGTTGCATTTTTTAACACACTGAAGGCAAGTCTCTCCACCAGCAAAAAGTGATATTTGTGATATTTGCTTTATTGTGATATTTGCTTTATTATGGTGGTCTGGAGCTGAACCCACACCACTTCCAAGGTATGGCCTGTATTATTAGTGTGTATTCCTTTTCTTTTACATTGGCCTTTAATGAATCAGATTTTGGAAATCTCAAGAATCAGAAACACAATATTGTATTTTTTTGGAATTACTCTTGCAATACAGATAAAGAATAAATTTAAATTTATCCTAATTCTACTTTTGAAAATAATGTGAAAAGCAGCAGCAATATTCTCTTCCTGATTTAGTTGTCAATTTATTTCAAACTTAAGTTTAGGGAACAATATACTTTTTTTTTTTTTTTTTAATTGGGATAAGACAATACAAGAAACGTGACTATTAGCTCAAATGAGAAAATGTCTCATTCCATCAGTGTTACTCCGAATAACAGTATATAAAAGAGGTCAGGAATATAGATAGTGGTACAAAATTACAAATGGGTCACTATTACATCATCTCAACTTTCACTTATTTTGGCTACAATCAAGTTGACAATTCGTTAAAGAGCTTTGGGAAAAGTTAAGTTTGTTTAAGCTGCTTAAACAATCACATTCCTCATGCAAAATATTTCTTGTCTTACATGCAATAGGTACAATTAGTAGCTGCAGCATGTACTCAGCTATGTGATGAAGTACCCACACGAGACCGAGATGACTGTATTTGTACAAAACTCAGTGTCTGTGGGATGAAGTCATGAAGACAGATTGCTGCTTCTATTGGAAAATCACACAGATGGTTTTTCTTTATATAAGGCAACCTCTAACCTGCATACAATCTCTGCATTTGCTGACAGTATTTTTTTAAGTAGAGATCTAATGATCATTTGGTAAACAAGAACTGCGGTTATGAACCATTAATGGCATCAAGGACATTTGCCTTCCCTATAAATAACCATATGCACCTCTCAAATACTGCGACCATTAGCAAGTAATTCAAGCTGTCTCACCACTGGAGTTGGTAACAGTCCTAATCTGACATTCCAAAGTAGCTGTATCTCTTGGGAAAACAAGGCTATTACCCACTATCATTTCTGTTTTAGCTTGACATCTGTGGAAATTTCAACACAGGTTATCCCCCCCCACCCCGTCTCCATAAAACTTTTATATAACAGCTGATTAATTTTTGGGACAGGAGGAAGGCAAAACCTTATCTGCCTTTTTTCCTGTCTGTCCACAACTGGCCCCACCCCCAGGTTGGTCTCAGACCACACAGTGAGACAGAGATAAGCGTGGTCACAAATCCAACATCTCCGGAGCCAGTGATGCCCAAACCAGGCGCTCCAGGCAGTTTAGGAATCGCACGGTTTGTTTTTCAATTTCTGCATTTCAAATGGGGCATTCCCGTGATGTGCTTCTGAGTGTTTCTAGGAATCCCATGAAAAGGAAATTAAGAAAGATTAATAAATAACTCTGAATAATGGTTCTAATAGCAATGAACTTAGGATTCCAGTTTAACCAACATATATCCTTTTTCCAATGTGGCATGCTTTGGAAAAAAATGTTTGCAGAGTGAAAACAGTTTTTAAAAGCTACAGAATATTATTTAAGTATTTTAAATAAGTAGAAACTGTGTTAATAAAATATTTGAAATCTCTTCTCTACATATTATTCTAGGGAATATAAACTGTATGAGACATTTTTATTAAGAGGTAACATATTACATTTAGTCAAAAAGGTGATACAGTTTGACATTTATATTAAAGAATATTTCTTGGTTTCACTTTAGTGTAATTGTCAGATGGATCATGGGGGGAGGGGATGGGGACAGTGTGCAACCATTTTGGTTTAGCAGGGACTCCTGACCGCACCATTTCGTGGCACTACAGGAACGAAGGCTCGTTTTCCAGCAGTGGACACGACTCTGAAGGGTGATGGAATGAGGAGTGGGTGAGGGGGAAGAAACGTGAGGGTAGTTATGAAGGAGCTCCAGCATATCCAGCCCAGATTCTAGTTGGCTCTGCCTCCTGCTTTGGGGAGGTTGTTCCTCTGCCCCCAACCTCCTTCTCTCCCCATGCTGGGGGCACGGAGAGGGCACAAGGAGGGCGGTGGAGCAGCTGGGCCTTCCGAGGCCACATTAGTGCTGGCGAACACATGGGGGCGAGGTGGATGATGCCAACGGCTAATAAAAGAAAAAATTCTACGGGGAGGAAAAAGGCAGAAGGCTGAAAAAGAACCCTTGGCAGAAAAACACCCGTTTCCTCAGGTGTAAAATGACAAGGGGCTGCCTAGAGACTCTGAGGGCTCCTTGGATCTAAATGCTATAGTTCTCCTTAGTTCCTTAATGGTTCAAGTGGACTTAATAGAACCATGTTTTTACAGTCTTTCAAAGATCAAAATTCATTGAAACAGAACACCAGTATTGCATTTAAAACATAACCATGCCCTGGCCAGTTTGGCTCAGCGGTTGGAGCGTCGGCCTGCGGTCCTGAGAGACCCGGGTTCAGTTCCCGCTAGGGGCACATACCTCGGTTGCAGTTTGTCCCCGGCCCTGGTAGGTTGTGCGGGTGGCAGCCACTCGATGTGTCCCTTTCACGTCGATGTTTCTCTCTCTCTCTCTCTCTCTCTCTTTTTCTCTCTCTCTCTCTGTTCCTCTCTCTCCCTCCCACTCTACCTGAACAAAAAAATGGGAAAATGTCCTCGGGTGAGAATAAAAAATAAATAAAAATAAATAAATAAATAAATAAAACATAACCAAAGATAAAAGTTATTTACTGAAAATCCAATGAATTAATAAACTATGCTGCTTCCACTAAGTGACAGACAGTTTTATGGGTAACTTGAGGTTACATTAATAAAAATAAGCTTCATATGTCTGTTCAATAGGGGCTATAAAACTGTATTTCTTAAAAAAAAAAAAAAAAAAGTAGATAGCAACAGTATCTGTGTTCAAAGAAGTAGCCTGATTCTCAGCAGTTTATTAAAACAGAAAAAGCCTCTAAAGTACATTCACAACCCTTTGTGTAAATAACGTTTACATAATTTAAACAATTTCTTCAGCTTTGCTGCCCCATCTGCCCAAGGCCCTGAAGTCCCTCCCATCTCCAAAAGGAAGCAGGGAGAGCCATAAGGTCTCACGGAGCCTCGAGTTAATGGCATGTATCATTTACATTGAGGGCATGGCATGTTTGCAAACAGGCTCACCACTGAGTGATGAAATGTACAAATGGCTCGGAGAACTCTCCAACCGGAAGGACGGGCGAATCCTGGGATGGAGGAAAAACAAGTCACCAAAAGTCACAACAATTCCTTTTCTTTCTTATACCTTCCCTCCCCCACCGAAGTAACAGTATGAAGATGAATATATAACAAGGATTCACCACTCTGTGGAAAGGAAAATAAGGCCTCATCCAATTAAAAAGTCTACACCCTCTTCCACATGCTTCTGTAAAATGCCAAATAAGCCAGACACATCTTACAGCGCTTAGAGACAGGAGCACAAAGAGGGAGGGGAGGTGAAGAAAGGACAATGGTAGCCACAGGGTATGAAAGAAGGTACGAAAGTGTAAATGAGAAATTAATGATTATTTAAGTAACACAAATGGTCTTGTAATTAACAAAGAGCTGTGAAATTATTCTTGTGTTGACCTTTGTTTCTCTTACTGGATTTGCTATTTATTTACACTTCCCTTTTTATTTGTATATTCAACTGCTCTTAACTGCTTGCCCCTAACACAATCATTTGGGCCAGATTTTTTTTTTAACTTTATTTGAAAGGCTTTATAGGAAAAGCTGTTTTTTGAAAAAGAATGTCAGCCTATTTTGCCAGTTTAGGCAAACTCGTCATATGAGAAAGCCAGTGAATTAAGGACATAATGAAAAACTCCCATGTTGACCACCAAACTGAACGAGGGTGGAGGTGGCGTCACTCTAAAGAGCAGATAACTACACAGCAACAAACGCATGACAACAACCGCGTAACACAGGGAGCGAACCCCATTACCATTTGCAAAGGAAGGCTTTAAGAATTTAGGAGTTTTTCCAAGAATGACAGAGAGCGCCACTGTGTTTATAGTGTAACGGCTCAGGATGTAATGAAATTACACTGCAGAGTACTTTAACAGTCATCTCATTAGACCTACAGTTGGAACAAGAGAGCCACATAAAGTAGGCAGCTGCAAATGACTCCATTCTCATCTATTCTCATTTGCTATTAAAAATACCTTTCGGCGGCTTTTTTCCCTCCCTGACATCCCTACACAAAGTGCCCTGCAAAGTATGATACATGCACCTATTTAAATTAACAAAGGAATGACTTATTTTAATCTCACTGTGCTTTGGAGTGCTTTGGCCATTTGGATGAGCAATATATCATTACATACAACCTTCCAGCGCTGCAGGCAAGAAACTCAGAGCATGCAGCATTTGGTGGGAGCCAAACAATTTCTCTAGCACACAACTGTGTCAAATGCATGCATGTATTCATTATTGAGAACGAGAGGAAATGGCTTTGATGTAGTGGAAAAAAGAAGATGATAAAAGCACCTCCGCAATATGCGTGTCATTATCAATGGTGGCAGACAGATACAATCGCACAGCCCCCTATGTGATTAGTAAATATACATATAATTGCTGGGGCCAATTATCAGAAAAATGAGATTGGTAATTACAAGACAGAAAATTAACTAGAACTCTTATTAAGGCTTTGTTTCCAATTCAAACAATTGGAAACTGCTGGAAAATACAATTGAATCAAAAGGAACTGAGGGGGTCAAAGCAGCAAAAAAAAAAAAAAAAAAAAAAAAAAATCCCAAAGAGGTTAAAAGAAAAGGAATGTGAACAAAACGTTTCTTAGTTTTTGCTTGTCTGTCCTCTTTGAATGTATTCTATTCATCCAGAGGAGGGGAAGGTTAGTAATTGTAAAGTTAGAATCCTCATCAGTAGAGAAAGGCTTCCAAGAGGAAAGGAAAACAAAGGAAAATGGGAGTGGAATAAAATCTTGCCAAGTTCAAAGGATTACATGCAGGCATTACATAGAGAGGACATGAAAAACGGGGGGCTGATGAAATCGTCTGCTCAAAAGAAACAAGGACGCAATAACATGACAAGTCTTCGATAAAGGTTCTATAAAATGGTCACAGAAGTCCCATCAGTTTGAAGAGCAAAAATAAAACATGATATCAATTTCAGCCCAGCCTGTTTTAGGAAAGCCATATATATCACCAAGCTTGCAAGAGTCTACAAGGCCCAGTTCAAGAAATGACATTTTACTGTCTCAAAAACTATTAGTACAAAGATAGTTCAAAGTCTGAGGTACAAAAATTATGGACTGTGATCAGGTAGTTTAGTTCTCTAAGTCATTCATTCTGGAATTTTTTTGGAGGCTGTCTGTAGCACTGAAAGTGTGAGTAACAGCGGCTTTAAAGGGCACTGTTTAGGAAAACAAAAGCCCACTGCCTCAATGTGGCTGAATATTTACCAAGATGGTTAAAATTCTGGACTGGCTTTCTAAAACGATCCGGGTATAAAACATGATGCTAATGTGGGCCTCATTTCAAAGTATGATACCACGAGCAAGTTAATGAATTATAGACTAGGCAACTTGATGAAGATGTTATTTTAACATGGCTGAGAAACAAAACGAGGAAATGGGACATCTTTGCATGGATAGTTAATTTTATTTAAGACCTGATATTGTAGCCTGTTAAGTTCCTCATAACATAAAACTAAGGAACACTGGGTGGTACCCATGAATAATTTATTTCACTTGTGAAAATGCCAGCCCAAGTAGACTTTACAGAACCACAGAGAGTGGATTCCCATCTCAGTGGTGCCTGGAAAGAATCACTCATCAAAGATACGGGGGAAAGTCTAATCCCACATGCATAATGCCAGATATTTCTTTTCATTTTAAAGTCCATGTCTCTTGCATAACTAAGAGGAGCATTTTCTGTGATACAGACGCCCGACGCATGGGGTGACAGTGGTCAGAGTGCCACACGGAAATGCGGGGCACAGGAGCCCTCTGAGAGCCCCCAGCGCCACAGAGGCACGCGGTGGGCTGCCAACGCTCCAGAGGGGAGGAAATGAACAGACCTGACAGTGTGCCCAACACTGGAGGATTTTAAAGGATACTTTTCTCATTTTTAAGTAAGTAAAATGAGAAGTTAGTTTAGATCAGGATGTAAAACACCGCCAAGGGGCTGCCCATTTCGTTATGTAATTCAAATCTGCTCTGAGGAAAGAGGGAGGCTCATTGGAAAGCTGCTCCAGTGTCACAGAAGCTTCCAGGGAGGGGGAGCACCCAGTCACCACGGGGTGAGGCGAGACTGAGAACCATGCCTCTCTGATATATGGGTTCAGGCCAGATGAAAAATCATATTTCAAAATAAAAATACAAATTGGAGAAGCAGTTACACTAATAACTCTCAGGACTGGCTGAAACGAACTCTGAATAGTTAATAAAAGTCACTCACTTAAAGCCCTGGGTGCTATACTTCACCTTAAGGGCTTTTTTGGGGATGCTATTCTGTTGAGCTTCTAAGAGTGGAGGTGTGGAACAAACAGTGGACACAACCTTAACCAGAAGGCTTAACCTGAGACTCCAGTCCCAAATCAACCGCAGCGCCTTGCTGAAGGAACCCCAGTGGGATCTTGTCATGGAGCAGGGAACCGTTACATAAAAGCAGTTGAAATGGTTACATGAACCATTTCTGTAAGCAATTCTGGTCATCAAGAAGAATGGTCTCCAAGTATCTGAGGTCTCAGTAACTACCTGGCCAGCCAGCCCCCTTTGCTAAACAACAGAAACATAAACAGGCGGCACGCAGAGAGCAGTGAAGGACAATGGGAAAAAAGTTTGAGTGATGCCTTTGCCTTGTGAATAATGAACAGTTCAGGAAGGTCAACCCATTACAACCGAAACTGTTTAATTATTAATTATGCACAATCTATGAGCAAAAGGACAAGTTCAGAATGTTTAATGTATGCTACCTTCAACTGGACTCTCCCTGGGTATTTTGTTATTAGCACTTGTCAGCAAGGAACTCAGGCATAAAAAAAGGCAAGCAGCAGAAAATCGGAGTGTGTGTGTATGTGTGTGCGTATACCTGTACACTCAAAGAGGTGGGGGAGGGGAGGAGGGAGAAGGCGGTCCAATTCCAACCACAGCTGTGACTAGTTCACTTGCAGAGTATGTGTGCCAATAAGTACATCTCAAAACCTTGAGAGCAGGTAGGCATGTTGAACACTCCAAATATAGAAAATATAAGTAAGAAACATGCTTTTGAAATGACTGACTTAAAAGGGAGATCATTATTTTAAAGGCATAGTGTTTTTGAAATTATGATGATTCTTGGCTTTGAATGGATCCATATCATTAATGTTCACACACACATACATAGAATCTATATTAAATCAATGGATTGTGTCAATGTCAATTTCCTGGTTGTGATATTGCACTATATTTATGAGCTGTTACTAGTGGAAAAAACTTGGTGAAGGGTATACAGGATTTCTCTGTGTTACTTCTTACAACTGCATGTGAATCTAAAATGATGTCAAAACAGAAAGTTTAAAAAGAAAAAGGTAAGGAGATAGTTTTAAAAACTCTAATGAGATCCACATTCTTAGAGGAGTTGGGCTATGTAAGAAAGAAGCCTGGCATAATTAGTCAACTGGAAAAAAGTTAAGAGACCTTTGCTTAAAAAAGGCAATACCCGAGGATTTAATTTTTTCCTTTAATTCCTAATTGAAGATGACAATGACGTACTGGTCAATTCAGACACAGGGCATAGACAGAAAACTAAAAATGATTCAATCATTCACTACTTAATTTACTGGCTCTTTCATTCAACAGTTTTCTTGACCACCTACCACATCAAAGGCGCTGACCCTGGCACTGTGGGGTGACTAATACTTAATCCATATCCTCAAAGAATGTGTATTGTCTGGAGAATAAGATGTGTACCCCTAAAAACAGCCTTGCAAGATGGAGGAGACGGTCAAGTGGGAGTGCCAAGGCTGGGCACGCAGGCTATCCTGGGGACAGCCGAGGGTTTGATGCAGCTTGGCTGGTACCTGAGTTTAGAGAGGAGAGTGATGGGAAACAGTCTAATTGTCTGGAGGGCTTGAGACACCTTCTTTGCTCTCCTATTTTCTTCCTTCTTTACTCCAGACAGCACCTGGGGTGAAGGGGCCTTGTCATCTTTTTTTTTATCCTCACCTGAGGACATTTTTGCATTTGTCTTCAGATGGGGCAGGAGGG